TCACCTGAGATGTTTGTGTACATTGATTGTACATCGAAACTCGCCAACAGTTCCATCCCCATCAACCCAATGTTCTGGATCCTTTGAGAAAATTCATATGAACTATTGACGTTATTCGAGAGTCTGTCATTAACTTCCTTGAGCTTCAAGCAAATGAATTTTGCTAGTTTGTGTATTCCTCCATGCTTGTTGTTGACTATTCGTCTTAACGGATTTCCTTCCTTGTGTATCCTCGGTAGTCCTTAGACTGTCAGTGGCCTTGCGTCATTTTTGATTAAAGATTTTATCCTCCATCTGCCAATTTCCCCATCACTATGCATTTCCTTTAGCATATTCTTCAGTTTCCCGTTAATTTTCGTAGCTGGATCCTTCCTTAATATTTGAAAAGTGCCAAAGATACTTTCCATTTTCTCCGTGTATTGTTTCTTCTCCATACAACCGTAGCCAATCCCTTATCCGCCTGACGAACTATTTGATCATTCTTTTGTAATTTTTTCCGTATACCAGCCAATCTGCTCCTTTGTATCGGTTCTTGATATGTCAGGATCCGTGGGATTATTTCCAGCTCCATCTTCTGCCTTGTCTCTTCTGAATATTTATCCGTTATGTTGATAACCTCTACCAGAATATCACTAGAAACGTTTCCTTCGTCACGAAGGAAAAAAGGTAACCCCTTCTTTAAAAGATTCGTAGTTTCAGGATCCAGAGGGATTAAAGATAGGTTTACTACCTTAGTCCTATCGTCGTCTGTAGCAGTTGATGCCTTCAATACATACCATCAAGATTTGCCCGGGTTGGCTTGGTGTTGCGTTGTCATATTATCCCATAGCTAAGCAATTTTTTGTCATGGCGCTTATTTATCAGATACCGAACCCTCTGTGACTTCTGGTCAGTCATGATATGTCCTTCCTTAATCTAGACTTGAGGGCTATGAACTTAAATAGCTTAAGTTTCTCAGTCTATTAACTTTCCTCTAATTTCTGAATGTAGGCGTTATAAAGTTTTTCATTAACTGTGTCCAGATGACACTTTCTCATTGAATTGCAGAATCTGGGAGCAATACCATAATGTTTGCAATAGTTCAAAAGGGCCAAATTGCAGGAGTGACTTACAATTGTCTTCTTTGTCAGGCTGTGATCGGTTAAATGTTTGGCAATCTTACTTCCATAGTTTAATCGAAGGTATGAATACCAAGATAGTGTTGCCTTTTGGGTGGTCGCTGTTTGCTTTATTTGTATAGAGATTGCTAGACCTTGTTTTCGCAACTTATGTGCTAACCCACAAAAGTTGCGGTTCAATATTAATCCTAATTAAAGCAAGCAGTAGCACAACATTTGTGGGTTAACACACAAGAGACTATGGCATGGCAAGTTATAGACTTGGTATTTGGGATATAAACAGGAAAGACGCGGCGGAGACTGGATCTAGTTAGCTAAGAGTAGGTCTGTTTTACTATAGACATGGTCCCTGTAGAATAGATGTGATCATGAGACTTACTCAGACGCTTTAGTCCTGTATTAGTCACTCAGACGCAGATGAGGGCGAATAACGCCTCGACTAGCACAGATGGGATGGCAGCGGTAAAGTAAAATAAGTGAACTATGGAGAGAGCATATGGATCTTACGGGGCAAGAGAGAGACTGTGATAAGACCTATGGAAGGAGGACTGCGTAACAATATGGCAGACTCTGATCAACATTCCCATCACAAGGGTGAAGGGGGTGAGAACGCCAGCGTAGAGTGTGAATGGTTTTCATGAATGCCGCTCAAAGGAGCACACCACACTACATCGAAATAAGAGCGCTAAAAATTGTAACAGTGAAGGTGTGATAGGAGGGCCTAGGAAATATGAATAGCCAAGGGCAGAAGTGGAGATACCACAACTGTTGAGCACACGTTTGGTCAAAGGATAGGCTACACTTGTCTCTTTGACGAGTTGTGGTGTAGTGCTAAGAATGACGAGACTTACTGACGACGCCGACTACAATGCCGTCGAAACTTCTGGGAATGTATCTCGTTCACCATCCGACTTTATAAATGATCATGCAGACAATGGACTCCGGACCAATATGACCAAGTTGCGAAAACAAGGTCAAACAACTTTCATAGTTTATAGTTCGCATTTGCCTGTAATACGACTCATAAAGGAGTGTTTTAGACTTTTCGACTATAAAAGCCGGCTTGCCCCAACCTTTGATCTAAACTTAATTATTTGCCCAACCACCATCGTTCAATGTGATCAAAAATGTCAGGCATCTTCATGTATGTAAGAAAATATTTACTTCCTTGACATTCCCTTCCAACTCCTCCCTCGTTAAGCTTTGATTCCACTTTCCGGGCAACCACTAAGCCGCCTACCATCTACCAGCTTGCCAAATCTGACCAAACAAGGAGGCCTCGAATAGCTGGCTACCTTTTTTTCTGCAACACACCTGAAGCCTACTCTTTGCACAACGTTCGTTGATGCATACATAAATTAAGCATTTATAGTATCCGTTAAGTCCAGCTATGATATAAGAATTTTGCAATTCTCTGCCCTCCGCTCAAAGTGCACTTTGTGAACCCAAGTAGAGAAATATTTCACACTAGCATTTTGAAGAATTTCGTATCTACAAGTTTAAATGTCGAATATCTCCCTAAATAGCCAAGCAATTTTTCTTTTGATAACCAGAAACATTATTTTCCAGAAAATTGCCTTCCCAATAATATCGATTTGCAGAAGAGGAATCATCACCCTTTGCAACACTAAACAGACATAAAAATTCACCACCAACCACTCCCTATAAAATGTCATAATAAATAGAAAAATTAGATTCACAGGGGATGCGTATTCTGTGTATGCTATCAAACTAACAGTAAGTTGACAAAGGAGTGATTTAATCATTGTTCTGTCAAAATTCTCTCCGTTAATGCAGGCCTCTGAAAAGAAGTCGATTTCATATCTGCCCAACACAGATCACACGATCAGCCTTCAGATCAAGACTGTTAACTCGCAGGTTTCATGCACAATCGGCAGGAATCGGACCGACTGTCCACATGTTAAGAGAGTGCCTGGCGTGCCCATAAGACTTGATAGCCTGCGGTTATGCAGACATAAAGACACTGTGCCTAGAACTCCAGATGCCGGCTTTGTGAGAAAAGAAATTCCTGTGAACCGAAGCAATAAAAGCACAGTTTTGAGTTGCAAAAGAGGAAGAAACGCCATAATTTCTGCTGTAGCGACAGAGCTGTAGATATACAAATAGGTCAGCAGTTCAAAAGGAACTGGCTGCTGCCAGGACGAAAAACGTGCTTTCCTTACATTACTTCTTTTGGCATACTCGGATCTATCGCCACTTTTCGAAACTAAGAAAAGAGAAGAAGAGGCAAATGCATGCAGACTTGCAGACTTCAAGACGGCGAGTGTGCGTGTGCGTAATCTGACCGTATGAAAAGATAATGGAGAGCCAAGCATTCGGTGTTATCAGATCCTAGTTGAGTCCGATGAAAAGCGTTTATAGCATACGACTCCGTCTGATAATCTGGTCATGAGACGGATAATGCGAACCAGCACTAAACTGGGACTAAAGAAATGGAATACTGAGAAGTGGCTATGCAAGTGTCGAACATCTTGTAAAATGTTAGTAAATAACGAGATGCGTAAAAGTTGACCACAGACAATTTAGACAAGAACTTAAAGGATGTACTCTTGGAATGTAGATGTATGGGGCGAAACCGTGTACAAGGCAGCCAGCACAATGTCAGTAACAGCACAAGTCAAGGGAAAAGATTTTTCACGGTATAACTTGTGGTAGGAAAAGAATAAAAATAACAGTTGCACGAAGAATGCAAAAGATTGAGGAATTCAGTCTGGGCTGGTCTAACTTGGAGATGAAGATAAACACGCTTCGAGGGCTGATAAGGTCTGAATTCAAAAGAAGACCAAACCAAGCACAACAAAGCAAATAAAAGATGCAGCAACACACACAAACTGTTGGGCATGGCCTTTCCTACCATTTCTCGACAAAATAATCCTCAATTCGGAGGAAATCTTCTCGATCGAAAGTGCATGTAAGGCAGCAGGCTTCACAGAGACTAGGGAAATATAATTGACATTTGATTCAGCCTGTAGTGGCAGCAAAACGAAATAAGCCTGGCAAAATCATAATTAAAGCTGCTCGGTTCGACCAATTTGATCTGATGGAAACAGAATATATTCGTCACTGGTCACATTGCCAGTGGAAAAGTCAGTCGATAGAAGCTATAGTTGGCTAGTTCTTAAGGCTAAGCTATCTTCTGACCTTACGTGCCCTTTTTCCGAGTTCTCTAGAGACCAGACTGGCGACCAGACAATTTTAAGAGAAATGCTGAAAAATAGAACTCCAGCCAAGCAATGACAGACTAGTAATGCTGGGGCAAGCGAAAAAAGACGGTAACTTTCGAGTTCTTCCAGGAATAAATAGCGTTATTTTACAGCTCGGTTTAGCCAGGCTATGATGGAGTCCATATTCAACTGATAAAAACAATTGAAATCGGAACTGCAATGCAGTCAATTGTTTTCAAAAAGTAAATGCACAAGTGATGAGGTCAGCTATTTTACTTGATTTCCATTCTGAAAATTCTTTATCAGAAAATAGTATCCGGCTCTGTTATTTACATCGTCACAAGCATGTCTCAGTAGTTCTTTCCCAATTTCCTTACTTACAATAACATCAAAAACGTAGACAATATTGTCTTAGGTGCACTATTCCTAGGTGAAACACTTATTTTGATTATGTCCTACCACAAGTTACACCGTGAATAAGCTTTTCCCTGTACTCGTGCTACTACTTGCATCACGTTAGCTGTTTTGTACTCGGGGTTTTCCCATAATATGCTTGAGAAAGGAAGCTTAACACGTTATGGTTGATGGCACGACACAGTATAAAATGGAATTTGAATACCAATATTTGGTCAGTAGGTTCACTAAACAGAAAAACCACCAAGGATTTAAAGTATTATTATTATTGCTAAATTAATAATTAAAATAGGAAAACCTTTGATATTCTGTATATTTTTTATGCTGTGATTACACCAATTCAAGAATCTAATAAAATAGCTGAAAAATTAAATATTATTCTATAGTTTGACAGTTGCATATGGATTTTAAATAATAGTCTGTCGTGCCAAACCAAAACATTTGAAAACTTTTGATTTACACCAAAAGGCTACTTACATACAGATAGTCAGAATTTTCTATTTGGTTTAACTTAACTAATAAAGTAAAACCACTATTTCAGACTTAATCTGTCTTTTTATTACTTTGTTTTGCTTCAGAAAATAATAATCCTCAACGAATCTTTTTCACTTGTTTGATCTAATTAAGACTTTGTATACTTAATTTCTATTACTATCCATAACAAAATTAGGTTGATGTATGCATAATTTTTAATAAGTTATCATCTGCAATTATGGAAACAAGTGGACATTGATTCTGGGACAAATAAAAATTAGGGTCGGTTGATGGAACGTAGGAGGATTTTCGAGATTAAACAAGTCTTTCACATTGTCAAAAATAATTTTTTCATTAAAATATTTCAAGGTAAAAAAATTTAAATTTGACAAAGGCTAAGAAAATAAGTGTTGCAGAGAGTATCGCCCTTAGAACAGAAAATAAGAATTATTCCATCACATCTAGACTGGCTTTGCATGAAAAAGTCCTTCTCGCCATCGTCCCTTATCCGAACTGAGTACCAGCATTTATTAAAGACTGGGGATCTATGCCTTATAAAGAGTTTATAGTGGAATTCAGTCTTCTTCTGTCAGATGAAGTTTAGTAATTTCATTTTGTTTCTGCTGGGGTCAAAACTCAAAACATGCATTTAACAAAGAATTAGAATCTAAATGATCAAATGATTCCTCCATCAGAATTTAGTATATGTTGCTGTTAACCATTTAAAGGCACAAATATTTTTTCGATTTTTAGGTTGTTTGCGTGAAAACTTTTTATACAGTTGAATCACAAATATATCTCTCTTGATTTTAGCTAGCTTTAATCTTTTAATCATGTAATCCACTTTAAATAGCCATATTGAATAAGATTAAGGAAAATCAAGAGGAATGAACTTAGTTTGGGATAAACTGAGTGTCCGTTGCCAAAATATCTGAGCATGGCACTAGCTCAGGTCAACTTACCAATGACATTAATAGGTATAGTTAAAAAGTGAATAAGTTGACTATTATACAGATTTAATTAAGGAATTTTTGTTGTGACGATTTATTTTAATTAAAATATTTTTTTAAGGACAGCTGACAAAATAAAATACATATGAAATATTAAAAATTAAAACTTGTGTTCCTGCCTCAAGACGAAAACTGCAATGGCCTTGCTAGCTTTAAAAATTTTATTTGTTTTTATTAATTAACATGAACTCTTGATCAAAGTTAATTCTACCTAGATCACCTAATAGTATCTATCGAAAATGAGAATACATTATTGTGAGGAAGAGCTCCTTATTGCTATAAATATATAAAGCTCGTTTAGCTTCAAATCTTGAAATAAAACTAAAAGTAAACTTATTCCCTATTTCCACGAGCAGCTGAAAAATAAAAATTGTTAACTTAAAACTAATTTGGTTGGAATAAATTCGCTTGGATTGTGTGTGGAATTGCATAGACTAAATACAGGAAAAATTTCACCAATGGCCTAATAAACTCAGCCTTAGTTTTTAAATATTGCCTAGTTCACCGGTAACTTATCTCCATTTTCTAAGTCGCGGTTTGCTTTCTTACCATAACCTCGTGGATATCCTGTTATATAAGCTGTTAACATAGCAAGTTGCTCAGGAAAGATGCAAATAAGCGAATAAAATCTAAAATAGATTTTGCCGCTCATTGTGTAAATATCAGGAAATTCTGTCACAGAAGAAGAGAAAATATATACTATTAAATAATCCATAATCAACAAAATTAA